GGAAAGTTTAAAATTAAGCATATTACTGGAAATTAAAAGCCACAAAATTTGCTGCACGGCAATTAAATCTTAAGCTAAGATAACTAAGGTTATTTAAATTTACCAGAAGACATTTCCTTACTTTAATCAACCTTTAGGACTTCGTGATATAACCTATAAAACCGTTCAGCAGCTCGTCTTCAACTAAATAGTCTTTGAGCTATAAAATTAGATGATTAGATGATTTTTGACTTAGTGCAAAGCATGCATTGAGTCTTACTTTCCTTAAAGAATGTTAATATTAGCAAAACAAGCTTTTAATTTAGTCAACTTTAAACTTACGTCTGATCTTATTCATTTATTGGACCTTTTTATCCTAGGTTCTATGAGAAATTAGCTGATCTAAATGAAATTTATTGGGCTAATGCAGCTTATTTACATAGTTGTGGGAAATTTCAACCATCAGTCCATAATTTTATTTGATTGAGGGGGACTACAGCTTTTATCTGACATCTATTGATTGTCTCTAAACTCACATACTCTGAATATATTCTCTTCTATTTTATGCAAATCTCGCAGATACGAAACAATTACCTATCGAGATTGCTCATAGATATGTACTCTTTTATATCATTAACATTAATTCAGTTGCTTTCTCATTGTGTATCGAAATCTGAATCTTGGTCAGGTTCTCGTTATGAGATCATATCCTTAATTTATGGTGTTCATTTCTTTCAATCTCTATTAACGGTACATTTATGATTTTTTCTGCACTATTTACAAAAACGCGTGCTAGATATCACTAGTTTTGAAGATATCCTGCTAAGCTCTCCATTTAAAATACCCTTCTATTTTTTAATTCTCAGATTTGGTGATGCTTACCTCGCTGGCTTCTTTGGTCTTCTTTATCTCAGAGTTGTACAAAGTTTGGGAACATCAGGATTTGGTGAAATCAATCATCCGTATTCCTGGTACCCTGTATGCCCTCTTTGCCTCATTCTTCTCTTTCTCCTTTAATTCTTTTTCTTCTCTCTATTCCTCTCCATCTTCTTCGTCATTGCCCCTCCTTATATCAAATAATTCCTCTGTCAGCACTTCCACTGCCGCTACACCTGCAACCACAATCACTAACTCTACTCCCACCACGGCCACAATCTCGGCTTCCAACGATGGCTCCTCCGTTGACCAGACAGGCCATATATTCTCTAGGCTTCTATATTTACCTCCCACTCGTCTTTTAGTTCGCTTATTCAGATGGAATCAGCACAAACGCTGGATTAATAAAGTTGAGACAGCAGTCTGATTTGCCCTTTTTTTTATTTTGGGAGAACTCTTCTTTCTTACAGTTGGTGTCCCTTCCTGTCAATCAAGCTTACCGGTTACTGTCTAGTTTCAGCGTTTTCACCGTTTATGACTACTTTAGCCACCAGGTTCATTTACGCCTGACCGCATTTCTTGCCACCATTCAGAAACAGTTGATCTTATACATACTTTCTATTTTAATTCTCTTTCCTGTTCATACCTACGTAATCTATTTACACCCAATCCAAGCTGTTGTGCGTATATGTATTCTCTCGTCAGCCCACTAGCAACTTTCAGCTATACCCACATGGGGTTCTCTGGATGTCCATTTTAAAGTCAAGCTTTCTTGCCTCTTTTGGAACACGAGTGCTCTTTTGCAGCAGCTATTTTAATTACTGTCTAATAGATCCTTCACAACTTTGTGCTATATTTATTTATATTTTATTATTGATTACGCAGCTCCTTTTCACTTCTGTCTTTTTGGTTAATCGGCCGATAGGATTAATTCAGCTTATATTCTTGTTTTATTTCCACTTTCCTTGGAAGAATATCTCCATTGTCTTTCTTGGCTCCAAGCTCTTATTGGTCAGCCACCATGGAGCATGCGGTCTTTTCTCCTTAACAATATATTTCCCAAGATATCTCGTGGTGCGTTTTCACTTACAGTCTATGTTTTTACACTTGTCGTATATCATTCTCAATGCGATGTATCGGCGCCTTTTTATCAAAAAAGCACTCCTATTGAACTATAATATACCCGCCAACGACAATTAGTTGTATTTTGCACTACTAGGCTTTATATTGTCATATTTATTTTCTACAAATCTTTAACATTTCTTTGCTATGACTCCAACTCCATTTTAAGCTGCGTTTGTTTCAATATTTCTGTCATCCCTTTTCCTATAATTTCTTAGATTTTTTACAATTTGCTTCAGAAGGTAGTTTCTGCAAACTCTATTGTTCCGGTCTTTTTTTATTATTTCTATATTTATAATTAAAAGTTCTCATTTTGATTTTGAAAAAAAATTAATGTGTATATCGTTTTAATTACAACTTTGTTAATATTTTTCTCCTTTCACATATTGTTTTATCAGTCCGCAGAAGTATACTTTATTTTATGTACGCCTATGTGAATTTCCATTCTCTTTAACTTCCTCTTTTTCTTTATATACAGCTTTTGAGTATCTACCTGCCTTTGGTTGTCTTTTTGCCCATATTTTATTTCCATTTCCATTATCTACTCGTAAATAAATGAAGGCTTTATTTTACCTTATGCGCCACTTTCGACCAGTATTTCGCTAGTATTTAGCATTGTGATCTTCTCCAATTGTTCCAATAACTATCAATCTCCGTGCCTATCCCTTGTGTACAATTCTGCCATTCTATTATTTCTCCCTCATTGACGTATAAAAGAGCTTCGCTCCTTCTTCTTTTCTTGCTCTATGTCCTTAAATTGGGACACATCCGAACCACTTGGCTTTGATGCCAACTCACTAGTCATCTGCTCTCCTTAGCTGATAGAGCAACAATTTCCTTCGTGACTTTAGCTGATATTCAATTTATATATCTTGATTTCTTTATCGTATTCATTTTTCATCTCTTTATCTTCCATGAAATGCATCAGCTTTATTTATTCTTCTGTTGGCAACTTATTCAACTTTTCTCTCTAGAGCCATTGTGTTGGACATTTTATAATTGCCGCAATTTTCATAGGTATCCACTAGTTTTCATGCATAT